CTGCTTGGTGACCTCGTGTTCTGCCGCCTCAGCTGCCCTTCTCGCAACCTCTTCCTTAGCCTCTTCAGCCTCGGCTAGTCGAACCATTTCAATCTTTACCGCTTTCGAGGTGACTGCAAGGAGCTTCGGCTAAGTGACTTCTTTGACTTCATGGGACACAGAGGTCCCAAACTTTCCTGACGAGCTGGTGATGTATACCAGCTTCCTCTTCTTCTGCTCCTCGGGGACCTTCTCCTTCCATCGAGGCTCTTTGGCCTTGTCTGGCCTCTGAGGTGTCCCCTCTTCGGGAACCCTCGAACTGTTGTTCTTAGAGAGGTGCTCGACCCTGCCCCGAACCTCTTTGGCACCAGTCAACCCCGGCTTCAGGGTCCTCGCCTTCACAGTGGATATGGCCCTAAGTATAGAGGTCATGTTAGGGGCTGGATATTCCTTCCTCTTGAACTTGTCTGCAGAACATGTCAATGCATCAGCATCAAAACAACACACAAGAAATACACAAGTATAGGAGCTTCTTACCCTTGGAGGCCATCAGTTCAAAATTAAGGAAGTAGAGACTTCGGTCGATGAGATGGTCGAAGTGGCGAAGCTTGAGAGGTCTCTTGTAATTGTCCTCTATCACTTCAAACTCCTCCTTACCCAACTCGAACCTCGTACTGCTATCTGTAAAGGAAGCCTCAACAGTTAGAAAAAGAAATTTGAATACAAAATGCAAACTACTTAGGCTGAGAGACTCACGAGCTTCATAATACTGGGTCGGTACTGTGCAAGCCAGGGCTGTGTCCCCCTTCACCGTTTGCCACCTGCCCCTCACTTGGAACCACGACTCCTTCCATCCTTAATGGAAGAAGGAAGCCCCACCACAAATGGTGCATGAGCCCTCCAGGAAGTTAAGTAATACCACCCCCCTTGACTCCTTAACTATTACCCTAGGCTGGAATAGGGTCATGAAGACGTGGAGAGGCGTGTCCTCTCCAAGTGACACTTCCTTCCATAGGAAGTACGAGCCAACTAACTGGCTCCACCCATTTGGCAGAACCTGGGTCAGCGACAACATAAAGTTCCTCAGCATAGTCCTGAAGAAGGGGTGCAGAGGAAGACGCATACCTGCCTTAAACAGGTACTCGCTCACCACTACGCATCCAGGCCTCGGATAGCAGGCTCGCTCATGGGCCTCGAGTATTAACATCTCTACATAATGAGGTACACAGTACCTCTCCTTAATCTCCTCCAACCTTTTCAATGTCATATTTGAAGGGACTCTAGACGCCCTCCACTCTTCACTGTAGTCTACTGCCTCTTCAGTCATAGCATACTGCTCAACCTCGGAGTCCCCCCTATAACTAGCCCCCTGACCGAATGACGCGAAGGTGACCAACTCCCTACCTGAGGTGGACTCCATTTCAGAAAAGGACTAAGAACGCAATACAAGGGATTTTCTGTGAAAATATCTACGGGAATAACTACGCCAACGGAATGGTGCCGGAAAACCAGGGAACAAAGAGCTTCAACACCGGAAAACTTAAGCTTTGGAATCAATCAGATTGCAAAGGTAGAAAATCTAGAAAAATGGGAGGTCTCTCGCCTTTTATAAAGGGCCAGGACGAACCCCAACCGTCTCATCAAAGCCCATCCAATCTAGACCATTCATTCTAAATCAAATCCGAGGCGTAGAGTTCAAACAGTTTTTCAAACCTACACCTCAGATTTAAGCATGTCTCCCACGCACCTCCCCCAACACATCTGCTTCTAGAAGCTCCAGCTGTTCTTATGATTACGACTTTAATTCGACGGTAGTAGTCGCCTTGGAAGTTGTAACAGTTCAGCCACCTTTCCACGAAAATATGCGTAAAACATCAAATCATTGGCACAACTGCCTAGGAACAATTATTGTCAATAAGCCTCAGATTTCAGCCATCAAGCCTCGCGGGTTCGATTCCCTAACCATCTTGGCTTCCTCTTCATCATTTAGCCACCAAGCCTCGCAGGTTCGATTTCCCAACCACCTCGACTTCTTCTTCATCATTTATCTACCAAGCCTCGCAGGTTCGGCTTCCTCTTCATCATTTAGCTACCAAGCCTCGCAGGTTTGGTTTCCCAACCACCTCGACTTCCTCTTCATCATTCAGCACCAAGCCTCGTAGGTTCGGTTTCCCAACCACCTCGGCTTTCTCTTCATCATTCAGCCATCAAGCCTCTTCATCATTCAGCCACCAAGTCTCGCAGGTTCGGCTCTCAACCACCTCGGTTTCCTCTTCATCATTCAGCCACCAAGCCTCGTAGGTTCGATTTTCCAACCATCTCGGCTTCCTCTTCATCATTCAGCCATCAAGCCTCACAGGTTCGATTCTCAACCACCTCAGCTTCCTTAGCAAAAGGTAATAGAACATTTCTAACTCTAACCATGATATCAATACCTATACTTGGACTTGGGGGACTATTATTTGGGGTTCAAAAATTTCTTTCGATTTAACCAATTGACTTTACTTCACCGAAGTCCTCGCATTACGTAAATGACTATATTCGGACTTGGGGGACTATTGTTACATGTTTGCACACTTGGCAACTCACCGAGGCCCACAGCTAACTCATGTCGAACCACGTGGCACTGGAGCCGAGGTAATTCGCATAGACGAGGCCCTCTAACCGAGGTCGACAGATGCCTATGCCAATATATGCTGAGGCCCATATATTAGCCTCTTCTGAAGCTTCTGAGGTCCTTCATGCTGAAGCCCATATACCAAGGCCATGTGAAAGTAGTCGAAGCCCTGAAGCAGAAGCCTCCAAACCATAAAGGAGTATCTTCCATGATCACTTCTCCCAAGAGATCTTCTGCATAAAGATCTTACTTGAATGATTGATATGACGTTTGTAATAAGTGTAAATGTTAAGTCTTGTCACTAGTAGAGGGGGTTCTGCCAATCAATAAATGTATAGCAGGCTAGGTGCGGCTGATGCCTACAATTTGACATATAAATTGTCTGGATGATGCCACGTGTACCCCGAACCAAGGGTTACGATCTAACTGGTGACACTATAAATACTCTCACATGTACCCCATACAAAGGTTATGCAAGAATCAATAAAAAAAATCACACTTTACTCAACTCTCTCTCTCTCTTATTATCTTGCAACACAAACGAGTTCATACAAATTTGGATACACGTTTACAAACATCAATCGGCAATTATTGTACAATCGATCAACGAACATCCCGCCGGATTCCGAACGCTCTCGTTTCACACGGTAAAGTTACTTCCACGCCCTTGATCTTTCTATTTTAGACCGTCCACGTGTCTTAGCGTGTTGGACTTTCGCTCACGTGTGCACAGGTGGGTCCGACATCTGTTGGCAACATTTTTTTAGGTCAACATTAACAAAAACACTATGAAGGCTATCAAAACAAGTCATTTCATAAAATTTCTCTATATTTTTGGTCATTAGAATAAAAAAATTTGTTGATAATACAATTCACAGGCACATTTTTTTCAACAAATACTAAGAAATTAAATTATTAATAACTTTTACGTGAGAGGCTGCGATTAATAAGATAGCAAATCTCGTTACCTAATAAATCAAGCATGTAAGGCTTTGATACCATTGACGAACTTTTATGCTTCCTGTGCTACTATATGCTAAGCTAATCTGTAGTATTTGTATTTAACTTAGCTTATAACTAACATTTTTATGTTTTACATATTTGTTTTAATTCATAGCTTATTTTTACTTATTATAGAAAAAATTACGTATTTTTCAAAGTAAATAGTTCAGTAAATGGGTTATCAACATGAGAAGAAGATTGGAAAAACTCGTTGATTAACAAAGACCAATTTCTTGATTTTTGGGAGAGGTGGGGGGATTTTCAGTTAAACGAGTTTGGGATCATTGACTAATTAACAAAAATGGCCTAAATATTTCTCTTCTCACTCTCTATTTCGCTCTCTGCATTCGAAAAATACTGTCTCTGTAAATTTCTTTTAACAAAGAATTATCAATGTTGCCGGGGGAGCCTTGTTCATCAACTTCTGGCCTAAAGCCTGAAAAAAGTACTGAAGATAATCCCAATGAAGCTGATGTAGATGAAGATGACTCAGAAACTGGACAGAGTCAATATTCTGAAATGCCCAAAGGAGGAACTGTGAATGATCAACAAGTAGAAGCAGATCAAGAACATGGTGATGATCATCAGGCAGAGAAAGAAGAATTGGAGGAGCCAACTGTCAGTACTCCTACTCGACGGCAAATTGAGTGTGGTCTCATATCCTCCACAGATGAAGAAAAAAACACGGAAGATGAAATAGCAGAAGAGAATTCTCCACATTCTACCCGCAAAAGGGAAAGAGAATCCTCAGAAGAGGAAAACGAAGAGCAAGAACAAGAAAATCAAGAACTGCAAGGAGACAAAGTAGAACAACAACAAGAGCAGCTTGATGGTGAAGGAGATAATGCAGATCAAAACCCACCTGCAAATGTTCCTGAACAAGGAGGAGATGGTGGTCAAGAAGAACAAGAAGTAGAGAAGAAAGTTATGAATGAAAAAGGAAAAGCGATAGCAGAAGAAGAGAAAAAAGATGATGGTGTTGTAGTAGACCCAAAAACTCTTCAAACCATTGTTGAAAAATCCGGTGGTTCTGATCATTATGATGATAGTGATTCGCGGGACATTGAAATCTTGAAGGCTATGCTTGTCTACCAAGTACATGAAAGGCGTCTTCCTTTCAACGTTGAATTGCTCGAGTTACTCAAGAACTCCAGTGAAGTTGAAATTACGGAGGAGGAATTGGAGATGAAGTATTTGGTGTTACAGGCCAAGTTCGAATTGATTGTCGAAGAGATGGGTGAGGGACATGTATTCGATAGACCCTATTGTCAAGAGATGTTTTCTCTCTCAAAAAGTTTATGGGGTAGTGGACTTTGATTGAGAATGCTAGTATCAGAAAAATGGAGACAGACTTCGTTTCAGAATTCAGATTTTAGGGTTTGTTCATAGAGATTGTGTAGCAATGGAAATTGTTACTTCAGAGTTAGGAATTAGGTCTAGCATTCTGATTCATTCATTCAAGCATCACAAGATTTTGTACTTCTGTTACCCATTCTTTTTACTGAAAAACAAGAAGAAAATTAGGCATTCAACTGTGTTTTTATTTCAAGAGTTTGATACTGTTAGATTAATTTTCTTTTTGTTGTACTTATATTTTTAGAATGATCGAATGTTTTCATCAAAGTCATAAATTAGTGACACCAAAAATTGAACCTAAGAAATTTTCATTTTGGCGCTTTAAATAGGGGATCAATTCACCCAAACGCCCCAAAAGATCTCTCTATATAATTTTTCTCTTTGAATTGGGATAAAATTGTTTCTCACACTAGACACTTGCTATGGTGCAAGTAAACCGTGGTTCACCATATTCTGCCTCAGAGCACGAACAAAGTACCGATAATCTCAATCAAGATCAGAATGCAGATAAATATGAGCTGGAAACAGAGATAGGGCAAGAGCAAGATACTGGGATGCCCAAAGAAGAGTCTGAGAATGAACATTTGGTAGATGATCAAGAAACAAATCAAGAAGATGGTAATGATGATGATCAAGAAACAAATCAAGAAGATGGTTATGATCATCGAGAAGAAGAGAATAGTCAAGAAGGATTTGATGAAGATCATCAAGAAGAAGTGGAAGAAGAGAAGCCACCTGTCAGCAGCACTGCTATACTACTAACAGATGAAGAAGTAAATCAAGAAAACAATTCAGAGGCTGACTCAGTGGAAGATGAAGGAGCAGAAGATAGCCGGAAAAGGGGAAGAGAATCCTGCACAGAGGAAAATGAAGAACAACGCGCAAAGAAGAAAAAGAAGAAGATGACGGGAAAGGACAAGAAGAAGAAGATCAACAAATAGAACAAGAACAACCACAAGAGCAGCATCCTCCTGAAGTTGATGGGCGCTTTTTTGATGCAGTTTTATACTCTTCTGCTCCCCCTTCACCACAAAGTGTAGACTATGCTAGATGGGTCCAATATCATTCACAACCACCATAAAATTTGCTCCGATATGACCAATCTTTAATTGAACGATACCACTCGCCTGAAAATATTTCTGAACAAGGACTGGGAGGAGGAAATGGTAGTGAAGATGAAGAAGGGGAACATCGAGTTAATAGGGAAAAAGGAAAAGCAATCCTAGAAGATGAAATGGAGGAGGATTATAAAGAAAACAGAGAAATTTATATGATGATTGAAAATTGTTATGATAGTGATGATCCCCGAGACAGAGAAATCTTGAAGACTATGCTTGCCTACCGACTAGACAATAGTGTCATTCCCGAAATTAAACAATTGCACGAATTCATCAAGAATGAGAGTATATTTGAAATTTCTGCTGAAGAATTGAGCATCAAAGTATTGATATTGCAGGAAAAGTTCAATCTTATTGTGAAAGAGAAGGGTCTAAGACCTGCATTTGATGAACTCTATTATCAAGAGATGTTTGATCTCTCAAAGCAAATATGGGGGTGAAATTGGAGGCAATTGAGATGACAATATCAGAAAGCTGGAGACATTTGAAGGTTTCAGGTTTCAGATTCTGTTAACCATTCTTTTTACTGAAAAACGTTTAAGAAAATTAAGCATTTGTTTGTATTTTCAATTCAAGAATCTGAAATGTTACACGAACAATTACTTCGGTTCTTCTGAAAATCTGGTTTGAATCAATTTTAGGTCATTTTTCAGTTAATACAATTAACAGATACATTTCCACAAATGATCAATTCCAATCTCCAGAGCACAGTTATGCACTTAATTAATTAGTCTATATTGGTTAGCTGTATTTTGAAACACAAGAAAAATTATTGACTTAACAAATTATGCGATATTATACATTTACCAAATGTACTACAACAGTAAAAGCCTTACATATAATAGCCTGCAAGGTCATCTTCCTTAAGTAAAACAGACCAGCAAACTATACAGGGAAAATGGAAATTCTTGAAATCCACGATATAGTCTGGACCGGACAGTATATTCTAAGTTCCATTCTAGTCGTCAAGCAAGGACCAAACGAAATAACAACGAATGTCTCATTTCCATGGATGATCAATTTCAAATTGCAGATTATCCCTGTTGCGTCCATTGCTTGCAACACTTCAAAAGTAGTAACTATCAGAAGGCAAATGCATGAAAATCCAGTACCAAGCTCAAAAATGAGCCCACGAATTCAAGATTGGTCTACTCAAAAGAGCCACCATCTTGCAGGGCATGTTAAAGGATAAATTCCACATTGGATNATGAGCCCACGAATTCAAGATTGGTCTACTCAAAAGAGCCACCATCTTGCAGGGCATGTTAAAGGATAAATTCCACATTGGATGATTACCAAATTATAGACCAACTAATAAGGGCTTGGATTACACCTCTTAATAAGATTAACCATTTAAGACGGAACCCCAAGTCTTAATAGACATTGCATGCTTTTAGTTTGGAAACACCGAATATATATATATAGGAATGATCTTCTAAACACTGGTGCTTAGCTTATATTAAGCAACGGTGACATAATACACCATTTAATTAATGAATCATTAAATATATGGGATCTATCATTAACTTATTCACTAATTAAATATTGCACCATGTCATCGGTGCTTAACATAAGCTAAACACCAGTGCTTAGAAGATCATTTTCGTGTATATATATTCCCCCCCCCCCCTCAAAAGTCTAGCATGTAAATCTGTCATAAACGAATGAGCTTGAGACTTGAACTTAAGAAGTAAATTTTTTATCTACTTTGATATCGTGAACTACATATTAAGAGTAAAACCCCATGCTGGCTAAGTATGGAAATACTAACCAATATATAAGTGAGCTTGGGTTATGCACTGTAAACTCGAGTTTCTAAATGAAGAAGAAACTTTTTCATAATATTTTATCTTCCACACGTATATAAACATCATATCCTTCGTTTAACTCAAATTTTATCTCAGGAAAGAAGAAATAACAAGTCTTCGGAGTTGTGATTGTAAAATGGTGCTTTATATATATATATATATAAAGAAGAACAAATGATAAAGAAGGACAGATGTTCTGCTGTAAGAAAATACTTTGTGTATTACAATTGTTTGGCTTTTGTACACAGATTGCAATGAGGGCAGCAAGCTATATATATACATAAACCAAAAAGGTATACTAGGAAGCCTATTAATAGTGAATCAATATACAAGGAATAGCAACAAATTTACAGCAACCGTGTCCATGATTTGTGGCTGTAGACTGGTTGATTATCCATGATTTTAGAGCTGAGATTAACGTGTCCATGATTTGCTC